TTTTTTGCTTTTTAAAATGTTCTCAAAACGACTAAAAAATCGGGCCAGCTTTTCGCAACTAAATATTATTTTCGTGGTCAGCAATCGAGAGCGGTTGCTCCTGCTTATATATATATATATATATATATATATATATATATATATATATATATATATATATATATATATATATATATATATATATATATATATATATATATATATATATATATATATATATATATATATATATATATATACATATATAAATATATATATATATATATATATACATATATAAATATATATATATATATATATTTATATATATATAAATATATATTTATATATGTACAGGCCTTGTTTTAAAGCGTTACGCCTAGAGCGATTTACGTACGCCTTAAGCGCTTTTTACGTACGCGTAGAGCTGTTTTGGTTAAGCTACTTTTTATCATTTTTTAACTTTTAAATTAGCGGTAACATAAAAGAAGTAATTAATTTTCAAAAAAACCACATTAACTTTTAAATAACGATATGTAAAGGTATTTATTAAAAAAAAGAATTTACTTTAAAATTAATTGTTGTAACTTTTCATCGCGATATATCTTTCCTTTTTATAGCAATTAATTTGACGCTAAACTTTTTATCCAAATATTTAGCAACATGAAAAATTGTTTTTCAATCCTTAACTACAAATTTTTTGGAATGTTTTTAATAAAAAGTAGCAAAGTTTTTAGTAAAAAACTTTTAAAAAATCTATATTCCATATTTATTAATACAGAATATAAAAGTTTTTTGTAATATAGATTTTTTATGAATTTTTTACTGAATTTATCATAAAAAACATTTGCAAAAAAAATTGTAATTAAGAATTGACATTTTTTTTAATAAAATCTCAAAAAATGTCTTAATATTTTTGTTATCATGATAACAAAAATATCAAGACATTTTTTCGAGATGTTAAAAAAAATGTCTTTGCTTTTCTTATTAGTTTAATAGTATATAGCTTATAGTTAGTTTAATAGTATATAGCTTTTCTTATTAGTTTATTAGTATATAGTTTAAGTTATGCGGGGGGAGAGGGTCGGCACAGAAAAAAAAATTACCTGTTACTCGCAATATTAATATTTGAATGAAGACAATTTGTTAAAATTCTTTTGCGTGCGATTCAATAAGTTTTTTTTGTCATAAATCAAGTTATAATATAAGGTAAAGAAATCATGAGTAGACTACAACATCCGCTGATGACACTAATATTACGTTGAATATATTTATATAACGGAGGTTTTATTATGCACGCGCACATTACAGGTTCCGTTAAATAAATACTAAGGCACGTTTTAGTTTAATGACAGTCTCCATTTTTTACTAATGAATATGTATTTTTCTTTATAAAACAAAACAAACTAGTATAAAAAAACCTTGTATATTTCTATTATCTCTAAATTATTTAAAGTTTGAATATGGATTGTATTTTGAAGGACAAAAGATTTACTTTAAAAACTTTTAAATCTTGGGACTTTGCCGATGCGATGATCACAGAAAAAGAGAAGACTTACGTTATTAAAATCAAATGTAAGTTATGTGATCTTCATCAAAATAAAATATTATCCAAAAACAATAGTGCCGTAAGAGCAACTGCCCAACGGTTTATAAATAATACAAGTCATGTTAAAATATTTTAACATGTTACTATATTTTAATTAAGTTGATATATAATTAAAAATAAAAATATAGTTCAATAAATAAATTAAATTTATTCTTAACAAAGATTACCTCGTATTTATTCTTTTTTTTTATTTTATTAAGTTAAATTGCTTACAAACGAAAAAAAAAAAGAGTTTTGTAATTATACGTAGAATGAAAATACTTTTGAGTTTGTTTATAAGTTAAGGAACTTAATTTTTAATAAACAAATTTTTACGAATGTTTATTATAAACAGATACGATTCAAATTATTAAATATACTTAAATTATTTCAGTTGACTATTTTTTTAAGTTTGCACGATTAAATTTTGACGTAGAAGTATTTGTTTTTTTGTTTTAAGAATAATTAACAAAAGAGTTTGCATAATTAAGACTTTTATATTTAATTTAATTTTTTTTTTTAATTTCCTAAAATAAAAGTAAAAAAAGATTTAATCGTTGAAAACGATTTTTCTCTATAGCTCTGTTTCTTTGTGATTTGTTTAAAAAGTTAAATATTTTTACAATAAGATAAAAAGTTTATGAATTAAATTCCTAGCGAACGCGTTCTAAACTACGTATCAAAAATACGCTTCAAAGCAGACAAAACTTTTTTATATTTTTTTAAAACACAAGTTGAAACGCTTTTAAAAATTTTAAAAATATTTAAAAACTTAAATTTTTCTTTGCTAGTCAAAACAAAATCGTTGTTTAAATAATTAACATGGGTTTGTGTTTATCAATGTTAATATTTTTTGTTTACTCTAGAAATTTTTAAAAATAAAAAAAATCATTATTATTTTTTATTCAATAACGATTAAAAACAATTATTCAAAAACAAATTTCAGAAATAATTAATATATATATATATATATATATTTTTACTAAATAATATTAAACTAAAATTAATAATAAAGTAACAATTGAAAACATTACAAAATTTTCATAATAAATTTATATTTAAAACGTTTATAGTTTATATTTGAG